TACTATTGAAGTTTTTTTATCACGAGAAAAGATTGTAGCTCGCAAATGATGATGGCGGTCGAGAAGGATCCCTTGCGTTCCTTGCCTTGGTACCAATGCTTTACGCGTGTGCGCGTCGGGCTGACGAGAGTTGTGCAACATTGATGAATTGCTACTCTAGTATGAATATGGTGAGTCAGACTATGGTTGATACTTTGAACTTGTCATTGATTGAACATCCAGAACCGTATGAGCTTTGGTGGAAGGACAAATTTGTCAAGATCATGCATCGCGTTGAGGTACGATTTATTCTATGTGGATATGACGATATGGTCATGTGTGATGTGCTTCCTATGCACATACATACATGTTCAATACTGCTAGGAAAACCATGGACAGATAAAAGAAGTTGACATATCATTCGGTTGGCAAATTTTCTTTTGTTCGTGGAGGACAGTACGTAGTACTTGATTCGTACACATTGGAGAAGTATATGGCTGATCGCAAGAAGCGGGACATTGCTCAAGCTGCATCAGAAGTAAAGAAGAAGAAGGTTGAAGCCGCTGAAAATTTTCCAAGCATCGTTCAAACTGCAAATACAAATATTGTTGAAGAGATAGATTCGAAACCAAGGACGGTTTCGTTTCAAGGAGGAGAGGATGATATGGCCGCAACTGATGTTAGCGTTGATGATCGCAAAATAGTACCGCATGTCAGTGGGTTAGAGGAATTATTTTCTGTTAAAATAAAACAGGACATTGTTTTGTTTGATCTTTGCGCCAACGAGAAGGAAGAGAAATCTCTGGACGTGCATGTATTAAAGGAGAGTAATTACATGCAAGGTGAAGAGGTAAATCAAGACGTGACATCTGCATGCAACATTGATCAAGCAAGGTCTGGCAAGGAAACAGAAACACTCTCCAAATTTTGGAAAGCTAATGGAGCCTACGTACATACATTGGAGTATAGGATCTGTGATCTATTTGACTCAGCCAATAAAATCAAAGAAAGGAATTTGTTTTTATTCTTGCCACTTCCACGTAAAAAAAAGGTCCCTCAATCTGGCAAGACTTGGAGGTTGCTAGTACGTGATTTGCTTTCATTAAAGGATACAGACTGGGGTCCACCTCAGATTATCATATATGCCGAGATATAAAAGGCAGTTTAATTAGAGATAAGAGTTTGACTTGTTTACGTACACTAGTTTTATTGTTTGTCGGTCAAGTTAAAAGGGTCGGCTATACTAGTATAAATAGCCATAGTACGGTCAATGTAAATGCAGGTTATTTTTGATAAAATAGACACGATGTGTTTTCAAGGGTAAACACCCGTATCAAGTTTTAGAGGGATCTTTAGAAAACCTCTGTGTTGCGATTTCTTTGTAGAAACTGTTTTTGCGCGTGAGTATCATCGTCGAGATTGATTTTCTCGTGTTGGGCCGTAAGGTTCAAACCCTCTATTTTTCGTGCATATCGCGTGCGCGGGTGAGAGGCTACTGCTGCTGAAGGTGGAGTGTCGTGAAAGGTCGGGCCGCAACAACAGACCGGATCTCGCCAACGGGGTTCGGTCCATATCATTTGTGGTGAAGTTGCTTGTGGAACCTGCAAACACCAGATATATGTCGTCCAGTAGAACTAGTGACAGGTTAATGTACCGACTTAACAGGGAAACATGCTGCCCACTTGTGCTGTATTGAACGAGAGTTACTTGAAACAGCAGTGATGCACCATCGTATTTGATCCCGACCAATACATCAGACCCACTTGAGAGGACGATGGACTGATTACTGAGTGGGTGTTGCTGAACAGATTTGATGCTGTTTAAGTCGAGTCCGACATGGTTGCCGTCAAGGTCATCCTGGTAGCTCTTCCTCGTGTCAAATTCCACGGCTACTAATTGGTTCGTCTTGGCGCCGTCTGTCTGATTGTTGCACACGCCCAGCCACTGGCCACTGCTGTTGCTGGGCAACGACGGATTATTGGTGAGCACAAAGGCCATACCTTCTCCAGTCCCGTTCTGTGGGAGGATGTTGAGCATGAAATCTGTCCTGAAGGAGGTGAGCGCCGTGCGCTTGCTGTTCCACAGCTTGAGGGTCTCCTTGGCATACACCACTCTTCCCGACCGGTGGGTCATGTTGCCGGCGTTCGGCGTGATCTGCAGGGAGTTGTTGGAGATTGCTGAGCCAGGGCTGAAGCTGAAATCATCCCTGTTGCTTGCATTGAAGTTGGGGTATGTGAACTGCAAGCAGCTGCAGGTTCTGCCTAGGATGACAACAGCTGCACAAGCTATGCAGAAGAAGCTCGACAGGCTGCTGGTATTGGGCTTTGTCATGGCTAAATGGTTCCTGTAGCTTCCTGCAACCTTCTCAGAGAAGAGGAAGATACCAGTTCATATGATCCGCGTACTTCGCTTTTCAATATGGACGAGGCCGGGGAGCAGTTGACAAATACTTGGAAGAGACATGGTCAATGGGACTTGTCAGGTACATCGGCCAATACTATCTATGCAGCTGCAGAAAAGTTGCCAATTGTTAAATTAATAATCTGTGCAAAATGTTCAGCAATATGCTACTCACCAGTAATATATTTGACTAGGTGATCATCCCCTTTTCTTCTCTAGAGACAGATTAAAAGAAGGGTGTCAGCTGGGAGGAACAACGAGGCTGTTGAACAAGTAGAACAGTGACATTAATAACATAAGAAAAACACTAAGATGGTACAGGAAACTGATCCCTGAGGAACTTGGATAGAAATTTCTTCCATCTAACAATTGTTTATTGAAGATACCTCATGAATGTAGAACTAGTCTTTGCGGCTGTTACAACTTATAAGTGGTACCAGATTAAAAGAGTGTTGTCTGTGTGGAACAGCGAGGCTGTTGAACAAGTAAAACAGTCACATTAACATAAAAAACACTGAGGGTACAAGAAATAAATTGGTGCCAACTTGATAGTGCCAGCCCTGAACAACCTGGGCCGAAATTTCTTTCATCTAATAATTATCTATTGAAGATGCCTAGTCAATGTAGAACTTGTCTATGGAGCTGTTACAATCAAAGAACAAAGGCATTGTCAATTCAAATATTTGCAAGTTATCCCCAGAAAAGGGAAAGTTTCTCTATGATTACAATTTCTTGGAGTAATCTAGTTTGCTTAAATGCTATCTCTAGTGTGCGTATTTTGAATTATCCTCATATAATGTCTTGATCTAGCGCTTAACATGGAAGATCACATTGGACCAGAGTTTTTCATGCTAAGCTATACAACATGAGGCCAAATTAAGTCTCCCTTCTCCGTTCTCCATCTGTAAAATCAAAAGTGGAACGGGTGCATTGTAATTCCTGTAGAAAATTTGAAGTGACTAGAAATAAGAAGTTAAGAGTACTATTGGTCAGACCAAGCCATATGTATCCTAAATGGAAGCACGGATAGAAAATGGAATCAACGAAAGTCAAATAATTTTTCTCACCTGTCCACCGTCTTACTGCCGGGAATTTGTGATCTTAAAGAGCTCGCTTCTCACCGTAAAACCAAGCTGACAAACCTGCCTGAACGTCGCTTTTCTATGAGTCAGTGATCTGCTGTTATTTACCTCGGCCGCCATTGTAGTACCTTTCTTCATATGTTTATGACTTACTGTAGCTTTGTGGGACTCCAAGGAGTTGGATCTGATTAGGTCACTTAGACTAATAGGTGGAGAATTAAAACTTGAGGAATTGATGTTATGGGTTTAACAAACTACAAGTTTTACTTGCATGAAAGTAAGTATTGTAACTCCTTAATCACCGTAAAAGATTTCTTTTGGGCCCAATTATGACCACTTGCTATACCGCCCACATGACTTTCGAAGAAGTCAAATCAATTTCATTTTGTATATCCTCTAGCAGAACTTTCAGCCCTTGCAATTCTCCCCTTCTTTTTGAACACATAACAGACAAAAGCAAAAATGTGGAATCCTTGTAAAAACTACATTCAATCTGATTGCACTAATGGTACCAACTAACATTGAAGAAGCGTTTTTTCGATTGATATTTTCCTTACCAAAAAGAAAATGGTGACAGAGTTGGTATGGGCCTTGGTATCCTTTTGCCGGGATCATGTGGAGGTCATCGTGCTAGGTATCTTCTCTGAACAGCTTCTTGAAAACTATATCCACGATGCTCACCTGTCACCTCGCCGTGAGGGAAGTGGAGGTCATGGAGCAGAAACTGTTCTGCTGCCTAGCCCCTCCGGTGAACAGCAACCCGACGTCCGGCAGCTCAATTTCCCGCTGATTGCCTCCCGGAGGCCAAACAAAAGCAGGCTTATTAACCGGCGGCTCCGGCACCGGGGCACCATCGATCAACACCTGCACCACCGTTCTTATGGACGGCCTCTCCCTCGGGTTCGGGTGGCAGCACGCCAACGCTAGCCTCACCGCACAGTCCACCTGCGTCTGCTCGAACTCGCCGTCGAGCAACCGGTCGGCAGCATGCAAGGCCTTCCCCTCGCCGTATAGACTCCAAGTCCAGTCCACAATGTGCATCGTCAAGGGGTGCCCGTCGCTCGAGTAATCCTCCATGCCACGGTGGTCGCTGTCGTGCATGTACTCGTACTTCACGGCACTGCTGGGGCTCCTCCCGCTGACCACCTCCATGATGAAGACACCGAACGCGTACACATCCGTGTCGAGGCTGGCACGGCCGGTGAAGAAGCACTCGTAGGCCATGTAGCCGCGAGTGCCGGCCACCGCCTGCGTGGAGTGGTGTGTGATCCCGTCGTACTGGATGACGCGGGCAAGCCCGAAGTCGCCCACCCGCGCGTTGTAGTCCTCGTCGAGCATCACATTGCTGGGCTTGACGTCCCTGTGCAGGACCCTCTTGCTGCTCCCGTGGTGCAGGTAGTCCAGCGCCGATGCCACCCCACAGATGATCTTGTACCGCCGATCCCATGTGAGCTAAAGAGCGCTAATCTCCGACGACGAGTTGCTCTCTCTGGCACTGGCATACAAGAGCTTGTCCAGGCTGCCCATGGGAAAGTACTCTTACACCAGGAGCAGCTCGGATCCCTCGTGGCACCAGCCGATCAACTTGACGAGGTTGCGGTGGGACAGCTTGCTGATCGTGTTCACCTCCGCGACGAACTCCTGCTCTCCTCGGTTGGAATCGGCGTTGCCCATTGACACCCGCTTCACGGCCACCTCCAAGTTCATCCTATTGATGTGGCCGAGGTAAACGGTGCCAGAGCCGCCTCTGCCGAGCTTACGTGTAGGACTGAAGTTGGCAGTCGCACGCCTCAGCTCCCTGAGCTTAAATTTGACCGGACCATGTGCGTCGATCATCTTCTCCAGGTTGCGGTTGGCGAGCCTTCTCTGACGTGTCAACCTTCTCCACATGAAGAACACACCAACCAAACAGGTAGAAAATATAACCAAAGCAGCAATAGCCAAGAACACCTTTATTCCAACTCTTATTCCGACTGTGGCATCATTTTCTATTGTGGTGAAGTTCCAGGACTTTATCTGATTCAGTTGGGTGAAATCGCCCGTGGAACCTGCAAACACCAGATATATGTCGTCTGCCAGATAGTGTGATAGATTAACAATCAAACTTCCGCTGGATTTAAGCTGCCCTCCTATTGTGCTGTGCTGGACTAGATCTACTCCAAACAATCGTGTTGTACCATTGTATGCCATACTGACCCATACATCAGATCCACTTGCGAGGATGATGGACTGATTACTGAGCGGGTATTGCCGAAAAGATTTGATGCTGTTGAAGTCGAAGCCAAAATGGTTGCCGTCAAATTCATCCGCATAGCTCTGCCTGGTGTCGAATTCAACGGCAACTACTCGGTTTGTCTTGGCGCCATCTCTCTGGCTGTTGCATATGCCCAGCCACTGGCCGCTGCTGTCGCTGGGCAAGGATGGATTGTTTGTGAGCATGAAGGCCATACCTTCTCCGGCAGTCCCGTTCTGCGGGAGGATGTTGAGCACGAACTCTGTCCTGAACGACGTGAGCGCTGTACGCTTGCTATTCCACAGCTTGAGGGTTTCCCTTGCGTAGACCACTCTTCCCGACCGGTGGCTCATGTTCCCGGCGTTCGGCGTGATTTGCAGGGAATTGTTTGAGATTGCTGAGCCTGGGCTGAAGCTGAAATCATCCCTGTTGCCTGGGTTGAAACTGGGGAAAGTGAAGTGCAAGCAACTGCAGGTTCTGCCTAGGATGACAACAGCTGCAGACACCATACAGGAAAAACTCAACATGCTGTTGGTGTTAGGTATTGTCATGGCTAAATGGTTCCTATAGCTTCCTGCAACCTTGTCAAGAAAGAGGAAGATGCCAGTTCATATCATCCGCATACTTTGCTTTTCAATGCAGAGGAGGGGAGGAACTGACAACTACTTGGACACAAAGTCAATGGGACTCGTCAGATACCGCCAGCAGTGATATTTCTGCAGCTGTAGAAAAGTTTTTGATTGTTAAATTAATAATCTGTGCAGGCAAAATGTTTGGAGAAATTTTACTTGCGTGTAATATATTTGACTACGCGGTCATCTTCCTTTTTTTTACTACAGACAGAACAAAAGATGGGTGTCCGGGAAGAATAACGAGGCTCTTGGACAAGTAGAACAATGACATTAACATAAAAAAAACACTGTGGGTACAAGCAACTGATTAGTGACAACTTTGATAGTGCCAGCCCTGAAGAGTTTGGATAGAAATTTCTTTTCATCTAGCGATTCTTCATTGAAGATGCCTCATCGATGTAGAACTTGTCTTTGGAACTGTTACAACTACAAGCATACCAGGTTAAAAGAGGAGTGTCTGTGAGGAACAACAAGGCTGTTGAACAAGTAGAATAGTGATTAGTGACAACTTGATAATGCCAGCCCTGAAGAACTTGGATAGAATCTAACAATTCTTTATTGAAGATGCTTCATCAATGTAGAACTTGTCTTCAGAGTTGTTGCAACTTACAAGTGTACCACAGGCAAAATTTGAAGTGACTGCAAATAAGAAGTTTCCAAAATGATTTGCACATCCATCGCTTTAGGGTCAAGGCAGCTTTTGTTCAACATCTCCTTGACTGGTTACAATCTCTGTTCCTGTAAATTTTTTTCTTTACTTTCTTTACCCAACTCCGGTATGTACAGTCTGTAAGTTCCCCTTAATTTTGTAGGATATACACCGGCGGGCTTCCCCTATGGTATTGCATTCAAAAAAGAAAAGTTTCAGTATGATTGCTCACACCAAGCCTGTACTTATTGTGGCTTTGTGGGATCACAAGGAGTTTGATCTGATTAGATCGCTTAAACTTGCAAGTCAAGGATTAGAATTGACTTGAGAAATTGATGTTCTAGGTCTAATAAACTACTGTAGTTGTATTTCCCTTAAGCCCAACTATGGACACCTGTTATACCAACCACATGACTTTCAAACAAGTCATATCTATTCTGTGTACCCTCTAGCAGAACATTCAGCCCTCGCAATTTTCCACTTAGTTTTGAACAAATAACAGGCAAAAAATGCGGCATCTGTATAAAAACTGTATTCAATCCAATTGCACTTATCGTACAAAATCACAAATTAACACTGAAGCTGGCCTTATTTAACTCATGCTTTGCTTACCAGAAAATAATGGTGATAGGGTTGACATGGCCCTTTGAGCATGGACCTTCTGTGGAGCTCCTTGATAATTCATAGAATGCATCGCGATAGATATCCTTTTGCCAGGATCATGTGGAAGAAGCTCAGCATCACAGGCCATTTTCTTACTGCCATTTTCCTTGTGTTTCAGTTTGCAGTTGGGGTCGAGGCCGAGGTGGTGCATTCTCAGATGGAATTGAAGTCGAAGCAACAGCCAAAGCCAACTGATTTTCACTTCCTCTTGTCTCCCCTTCAGCGGATCTTTGTGGATTTGCTTCCCATCTTGGTTCCCCGAAACTGGAAGGATGTCTCGGTTCCTCTTCATTTCAAATTGCTTCACATTTTCCTCGCTTTTTTTTTTTTTGCTCTACATTTGCAAAGACATTGGCCGGAAAAAGAAACAATCAGTTTATAGTTCTCCAGTCTTCAATCAAGTATTTCGGTATGAGAAATAAGGAAGAAGGAGAAGTACTTCCCTCTGTCCTCCGTCCCGGCCGCCAGCCGCCTGAGCTCGAGCAAGAGTGAGAGGAGAGACCCTTGGTGCGGCTGAGAGGGGTTAGGTTTCTTAGATTCGCTTCTCCGATTGAGGTGGGCTGTGGCCTATGCGCATTAGGCAGGCTATGCAAATGAGCCCACAAGGGTCGGATATGATGTTTTTTGTTTTTGTAAATCGGAGACAAATTACCTCGATTTATCAAATTCTACTAAAAACTCTAAATTTATCAAATAAATGGTAAGTAACAAAAATCGGTTTCTTCACAGGAGGGAGAGGCGATCAACAACCCTAAACGCAGGCAAGAAGTCACGCCCTAGTCAGTCGATTCCCCTCGTCTCCAATAGCCGCGCCCTCATAGCATTTCGGCAATCGAGACTCATGAGAGTAATTGTTGAAAACATTATTAAAACTTCAATTAATTTTTAATTATGATTAAATCATGATGACAATTTTTTAAAGGGGGGGAGGCGGGGTCACAATGACAGTGTTAGGCTGGTCATAGTGGGGAGTAACTTATACTAGTGTCATACATATGACACTAGACTAAGTTACTACCTCCATAATGCAAAGTAACATAATAGTAGTGTCATAGATTGCTTCATTTATTAGCTCATAGACTCATTTTACCTCAAAAAACGCTATGTTACAGTAACATATTATGTTACCACAAGCACCTATTTCCTCATTAAATACTTGCCACATAAGCAAAATTGTCTTGGGATGTGTTAAGTTACTACCTAAGTTACCACAACTATGACTAGCCTTAACTAATCTCATGTTGTAAGTTAATCATGCGAGTGCGTACAAACATGTATATCAATTAACATAACAAAGTACTGCAAGCGCATGGATCATAAAAATGGGATAAACAAATCATACCCTTCGGAAAGGTAAGTGACGACAAAAGAAGCATCCAGAGCCTTCTTCGTGGCATCACTCTTGTCATCCATGGCGCGCAATTGGCAACCCTAAACACAGGCAAGAAGTCGCGTCCTAGTCAGCCAATTTCCCTCTTCTCCAATAGCCGCCCTCATCTCCTATAATCATTTCGGCAAGCGAGGCGACTCATCAGAGTAATTGCTGGAAATATTATTATTTTTAATTAATTCAATTATGATACAAAATCATGATGACCGTGTTTTTTTGGG